ACGAATTTGTAACGGGAGATGTGAGTTCAAATAGCACATTTATTCACAGATTTGATCATGAAATGGAGGTAGCCGTTCTGGGCTGATCGTTTAAGATTCCATCTGTCTATCGCTCTTGCTCTGTGTCCGTTCCACCACGTCCACGTCCTTTCTTCAGTTGTCTTGTTTGCGCACGATGCTCTTTTATGGTATGTAATGCGCAGTGACACAGTTCATCCCATTTGCTGTGTTCAGATATGCTGCTTGTTTACATTGAGGGTTCTTCAGTGGTCTGCCGGTTACTCTAATGTAGCTCTGTCCACTCGAGCCGTCCGATATCCTATCCTGGCCACCTCTTGTGTTGGCATAATGCCTTTCTTATACAAGTGATTGCTAAGGTTGTTTCCGGACCTGCAAATAGTATTAACCATTCTTCAGCTTCATCTATTTCCTCACAGTGTGGTTGGGACCAGCTACTGTATAGTATCCAAGCAAGTTTTTTATGTGGGGCGGTTACCAAAGCGCGAGGTACGTGTCGGAGAAAAGTGCAGTCATATTTTTCGCTTTTTATTGAGGTCTGGCATGAACCTCAGTATGATCTCCAAAAAGGCAGTAGTAGTCTAGGTTGATAGACGCCTCAATGTTTGAGGTATTCGCTAATACATGATTTTCAGTTGTTGAAAATGGACCTGCATTGCTGCTGGCATAATTGATAATTATCTGTTCCTCATTGCTGAACCACTTCCTTTTTTACTGCCGCTGTTTTACACGTCATATTTGCGTAGGGGTTTCGTTCGCTTCCTTGTGGTGTAAACTGATTTCTTTTGAAGTCACTTCAACCAGTGAATCTTACCTTTTCCTCAAAATGGTCATTCATGGGATACCTATTTTAATAGATTTTCTCGCTTGACTTCACATCCTTAAAGTGAATCATTCTTGGCGAAGTTAGTGTGATTTGAAACCAGCTGTGACGGACAGGCTACTGTTCGTGTCTTTTGCCGAAGAAAGTTTGAGGAAAAAATTTTTTCATCGTGCCATATACCCTCTAAACAGTGGATGGTCAATTC